CAGGCTTCTTTATTAAGTGCATCCATGTTAGCTTCTTGTGGGACATCGGACCCTGACGTGAGACACGACACCCATTAAATCTTGGGCAGCCTCTTTTGTTGTTTTGAGCCTCTTGCCTGCAGCTCCACCTAGTGCAGCTCTGTTGGGAGATGCAGGGCAGCTGCCTTTGCCGCTCTGGGAATTTGCCTCAGCCCGAGTCGGTGATACTTAGTGCCCCCCTAGCCCTGCGTGCTTTTACACTTAACGTAGCAATTATCATATTTGATACCAAGGCTTTGAACACTGCTTGCATTGTGTGCTTGTGTAGAGCCTGTGGCTGATCGAGACCTTGAACAGTGTGTTTCTTGTTTCTTCGTGCGAGCTTGAAGAATRTCAAGAAATCAGACCTGGCTTTTGTTGTTCCTGAAACCTGTCAGAGAGGTTTCTGGACTCCAAACTAGCATCTTGTTTTTCCTCTCCTTAAGAGACAGAATAATTTGCTCTCCATTACTGGACTTGCAAGTTGTTCTGCAGTCAGCATCTATTTGAACAGGATAGGCTTAACCTTACTTGAGTAAATAGACAAATTATTATGTCATTATAATATAATAATACTACCATCARTGAACATATTAACCACTAGTGTTTACATGAAGAAAATATGTTCTCCTGTTGGCAGTTCGGTCTGTGCTCTTCCCCTTCTGAGACCTTCYAGGACCTTTGCCTCAAAAAGGAGCTGGGAAGGGGAAGGGCCTCAGCAACATGAATTTTGAGTTACAGCCTGTAGTCCTTAAGTGTGCTTGGTGCATAAGGTAGGGCTGGTGCAATTGTCCTGAAATATTTCTACTGCTACAAAGGGTGGGAAAAGGTGGAGTCCTCCTTTGGTGTTTTCTACTTTTTTAGTGAACTATTGTAGAAGACAAGATCAAGCCACACGTACTAGGCAGGCGATCTCTTCAGGGCCTGGAGCAGCAGAACCCAAGTGCTCACAAGTTCGCCTTACAAGTGAAGTAGCTCTTCTTTCTGGGCTGAGTTGCCCAATTTGATGGTTCATAAAAATGGTAATGTTCTGCCTCAGACTTCCTCTCAGACTTATTTTACCAAAGACAAAATAAAAACTGCTTTTTTAGCAAGTGGGACAAGTTTCCGAGCAGATGCTTTTCGGATTAGATAAGGATGGAATGCCTTCCCTGCCCTCCACTGGTTGCCAGTGGACAGGACTCGAGCTGGTTTGGGCCTTTTTTTTTTTTTTTTTTTTTCTTCTTTTTCCCCCCCCCTTCCTCCTCCATCTCTCTGGCCTCCACTAGCTCATGCTTAATACTGTGAAGCAGTTTTGCAGAACTACGAGCTAGTTTTTCCCTCAAGTCCAGTCTCCTTGTGTGTGAATGAGCTCTGGCTCAAGTACATGTTCTGTGGATAACTTTTGCACAGATGAGGTAGCCCTGCTGGAGAGCAGGGAAGGGGCCTATTGTAAGAATTTATTTGTAAGAACAACATGTGTGTGATGTTGGGTGTGGTTTAATTCTAGGCTACAATTTATAACATTTAGAAAGTTTCAAATRTCTGGTATGGAAAGCTGAAGTATTAGTCATTTAAGTAGATGGATCCATTAGTAAGTTTGCTGTTCATCTTGGCTTCAGCTCCACAAACTTGATGCATTGCAGCTATTTTCTCAGTACTGAATAAAACCAGTTCCTCGTGTATTTCTGCTGCAAAAGAGATTTCTTTGTAGGAATCTTTCAAACAAGACTCGCTCTTCAGAGACGCTTGCTTGATGCCTTATTCCAGATGTTGCACTCATCTTGAAACGAGGTAGGAATTGATAGCTCCTGTGCTAGAAGAGTTTTATTGGAGTAGAACAATTTACAGCTCTGAGGCTGCTTGTTTGGGAGCAGATCCAGAGAACAGCCTTACCCCAATCTGTATCAAAACGGATTGTAGACTCTGAGTGAAAAAATAAAGATGTTAGATTGATTCTGGTTTTGTTMGAGTTCAAAGATGCATCCACAGTGTGTCCTATTTTCAATATTAGGACACAATTCAATTCAATATTATGTACCTGAATGTTTACAGTAATAAATGCATGCTTATATTAAATAAATGATCTATTAAGGAAGCTGATTTGTTACTTATTGCTTAATGTGAATCCTCTTTCTTACTGCTGCTAATCCCAGTGAGATTATTGCGTAAGTGCTCCAAAGTGCTTTTAACACGTGAGGCTAAAGCCCCTGAATGGATCTGCCCARCTATGCATCATAGGGCAAATGGGAAGTGCCTGAACTTGCTTTACTGGATCATGTACATGATACAAACAAAGAATATATTCAGATGCCTTTAAAGAAGTTACACAGATGTGTGAAAATCTGTTACCACCAAATTRTTTGTTATAGTTTTCAGTATCTTTGCATCTTTGAGACTTGCTGCTCTTTGCTGCAAGTCTCCTGGCAGGGCATCAGATGCGTCTGCCCCTTGAGCTCCTGGSCTGAGGAGTGTGGGACATCCACAGCCGTGGATGAATTTGTCAGTGTTTGATTTATAGGGACTATATGGGCAACTTTGACTTGCTTTTCACTTATTTCTCAAGCTCTGTTCATTCAGACTCTCCACATGAGACCAACAGGAAGAGGCCAGAGCAAGAAGCAGTTTATTCCAAGGGAGTTGTTTGCTGATGTAGCTTGAAACCAGGCTGTCTTGGGGGGAAGATGCTGTATGGTGCTTGCTATATATAAAGAACACTCACAATATAAAGTTGAAGTACGGTCACTTTTGGCAGCCTATTTCTACTTTATCTGCCTCTTACTGCTTTGATTCTATAGTGACTGGGGCACTTAATGCTTATTCTGGCCTATATCTTGCAGCTGAATCCACTCAAGTGGAAGYGTAATCCAGGCATGCATGTTTTTTCTAATCCTGTTGGAATTTGTTCCTTAATGTTAACAGATGCTATAGCCTAGGCCCTATTTTGACCTACTTATGCAAAAATCAATTTCAGTTACTGTCCCAGCTTTCTACTTGCTGAGGAAAAACCTGTCTATGGAACTGCTGCTTYGTTGCGCCTTACAGGTGCTTCTGTGTGTGTGTTTCATCTAGAATTAGTACTAGCTAGTTTTTAAGTCCTTAGTCTGGCTTTGTTCTTCCTTTCCTCCTAGTCTTAGCACAGACTTTGCAGATCTTCCAGCAGTTAGAGGAGCCATTTGCTCTCGTCAGCACCCCAAGGACTTTGCATTTCTAATTTTTGTCCATTTGCAAAGACTTGCATTTCTAATTTGCATYCATGTAAACTATAAATATTTTGTACTTTAAAATGACTTCAAATGACTGTAGTTTTCTGCATGCTGCTTTATTGACTTTTAGATCATTTGAAGAGCCTCATGATTTGAGCTCATGATTAAACTCTCATGTTTTGCTTTCTCTTTTTCTTTGGAATAATCTGTAGTTGTTCTCTTGTGCCTGTTGAAGATACTGCCAGCCACCMTAAACAGCAATTTGAATATAATCACTGGCCATGAAATCTTGTTTAAAACCTCAGGATTTAAACCTTGGTTTATTTTCTCTTAAAGTCTGTTATTCTAGAGGGGGTTTTTTGTGTCCTTTTTTTTTAGTGATTTTTTTTTTTTTGAAAAGTCCTTAATTTGATATGTTTTGTAAGCGGCTTTCTACCTCAAAAGAGAACAGGTAGAAAGTGCTTGTGAGAAGGGGCAAAGTCTGTAGCTGGTTGTGTGTATCACTGTGCATTCCCGCGTATTGCTGTGCATTCCCATGTTTCCCATGAGAAACATGTCYGAGGTTACAGGGCAGCTGGTCCTGTTTTATTCCTTCTGCAGTGCATATCTGAATAGTTCTTTCCTTGCCATCCATTGCCTTGAAAGATTTCCGTAGTTTTTTCCTTAAGCAAAGCCTCCCTTGGCCGTTTTAACCCTGGCTTTGGAGGACTCACAGGGAGCTCTCACCACGCTCCTGTCTGGTTCTTTTCCCTCTGTTTATGCTGCTTACGGTACTCTGGATATATTGCATTGCAGTCTGGGCTCAAAGCAAAGGCTTGTGCTTGGGATRATGCTTTTTCCTCTGCTGTCTTGTTGCTCATCGTCCCGAACAAACTCCATACTTGGGTATTGCTATTTCAAAACTAATTTTAAACTAGCAAAACAAACCTCGATGGGGTATCCAACATGACTGAGTACTCGAAGGGCATGGCAGTGTGTGGGTCTTTTTCTTTCCCACRGCCACGTATTTAATTTCATCTTTGGTTATTTGAAATCCCTCATCATGATTTGAGTAATCACTGTGTCRTGGTGATTAGTTTGCAAATCCCTGCAGTATTCTCCGTGGCCCGTCCTTTTTGACCCTTAATAGCTTTGTATCTCGATATGGTCCAAAGAAGAGTGGTTTTAAAAAGTATTTTGTAAAAATACTTAGGAGGCTATTAAAGGAGATTGGAAATGGGTTTCAAAGCCATTCAAAGCCCAAAGCTCTGTGGTGTTCAGGTTGCAGTGCTGCTGCTGATTCTTTTTCTGAAGTTTTGTGGCTTGTTAGACTGGTTCCTCCATGGTCTTGCATCCGGCTCCGCACTGCGGCGGCAGTGCCGGCATTGGGAGGCACGAGGGGCATCCCGCGGGCTTTGGCTTCCGAGTTCGGAGGAGTAGGAACCTCAGTCCTGATTTCTCTTTGAGTTCATACRGTTTTCTTGTGAGTCCTGCTCAAAAATAAATGGAGAGCAAGAAGGTAATGTTTTCTGCTTCCAAAATGCCCTTTCATCAGATCTTGGACTTAGTGGGCTTCCTACGCAATGCATACTTGGGATTTGTTTAACTGCTGTATGGGAAAACTCCTGTACTGAATGTTTCCATCAGCTTGTGTGAGTGTAGTAGAATAAAAGTTCAAAGTAATGTCAACATATGAAATGTTAAGAAATGAAAGCAAGATGAGATGCCTTAAATATTCACAGCAACCGGATCTTGTTCAGCTCTGCTTAATGCAGTCATTCCATAGTTTTCACAAGTTGCTTTTGTTTATTCTTTCAGGTTAAAGCTTTTGGAACAGATGCTGGAAGATGTTAGCTGTGGATACAGGGATTGTGGAGGAGTGGTTATCAGAGTTCAAGGTAAGAGAGTATCAGATATTCAGTAGCAGATTTGAATTGCTGCTGGAGCAGTATGCAAGAGCACTTCAGTGCTGTAGAAAATGAAGACAAATGCTAGCCTTGGGTTTTGCTTAGACAATATTAAGTATACAAATATGTACTTGAAAGGATTCTCTTTTTTTCCTTGCCCTCTTGGAGGTTACATATAGATACACAACAGTGAAAAATGTATATTGGGGATGAATCTTCAATGGGCTATAGTGAAATTTTTTTTTTTTTTTTTTTGCTTTATTTAATCTTTTTGCTGTGAATGAGGATCTATAAGCTATCGAATTGTATTGGTCTGTCAAATAAGTGTGTCCCATTCATCTTTTAAAGATAAGAAGATAAGATAAAGAATATGTGAGTTATTCATTCTTTCTAGGGTACCGCCTTTAACATTTTGTCRCTCAAAATTTAAGCCTTGGTAGTTACAGTTCACCTTACTTGATGAGCTGCTGTGACTTCTGTTATATCCTGCTYTGACTTTGATCACTCTAGGGTTTTTTTTTGCATTCAAAACACCATTTGCAGAATGATGCCAATTTAATTCCTTTGCAGTTTGCATTTGCCAGCTCTTACACTGTTGTGTTAGAGCAGGTCTAACTCTAAGATGGGTAAAAGCGATATAAGAGAAGGCTTTAAAAAGACTTCCAAAATAAAACAATACAAATAATTTTGTCGTCTTTGCCTTGACTAGAGGAAAATACATCCAGATACACCAAAAAGTGTCTTTCTGTAGCAGTACTAGAAACAACTCTGAAGGAACTGTCATTTTATCGTGCCCTGATGAGTAACTTGGTCAGGCTGCTGTCTGGCAACTAGAACAACAGATGGATAAGCTAGCTGCAAGGAAACCACAATTTCTGTAGTCTTACTTCAGAGCAGCCTTGTCAGCACGATATCATATGTAAATGCTGCTATTTAGCTTGAAAAATGGCACAAATAATAAATGTCATTATTCTGATGTGGTACTTCAGCCTTTTCTATCTGAAARTCCCAAGATAATATCTGTGTAATGGAGTGCTATCTCCTTTGAAGGCTTACAGATAAAAAATATCATAAGAGCTAGGAAATATAAATTTAAATGTAAAACTTCTTYAACCTTTTAAGCACTGGCAGAAAAAAAGAAAAACAAATCGGTGCTAGAGAAGAGCTGTTTGTCTACCTGCATTTGTGGCCAGTGTATCTTGCAATGATGCTCACTGGCTGTGCACAGTCAGTGTGTCCCTGTAAAGGGCTCCCTGGCTCTGTAGAGGCAGGCTTGAGAAGACTGCTTAGCAGTGGGCAAATCAGCACTCAGGTTTTATGAGAGGTGCCTGTGTGTGCCCCTGAAATCAGGAAAAAGAGAGTGAGAACGTTTTTTTTCCAGTTGTTATCAATGTGTTATTTTTATGTATGTTCAGTGGGATTGCACATCTGAAACTGTTGCTGTTCATCTGTTTCCCATTCCATTTAATTATGTTCTGTACGGAGCTGTCTGCAGAATGATGATAAAATGTAATGTGTCTTCTAGCAATTTTGTTGTCTTGCAAACATGATGTTTTCTATATTGAGTATTTCTCTTTCTGAAACATGTTTTATTTTATAATAAATACTGATAATAGAAACCTGTTATGGAAAACTACTGTTGCAGTAGCTGTCATTTTAATGCTAAAATTGCTTTTTCTGATAGTTATAAAAATGTTTTTATTTCAGACACTGCCRGAAGCATCCATATCCAGTTATGCTACAAGCTTGAAAGACAAGAGTGCTCTGGTTTCATCTCTTTACAAAGTTATTCAGGAGCCACAAAGTGAAGTGAGTATATCAGAAATCTCTAAAATAAGACATGTCTGATGTAACGGCAGCAAAATAAAAAAGACTTTATATGCTAGTTAAYCATGTTACAATTAGTTGTTTTGGAACTCTGGAACTACTACTACTCCAAAATGCTTTTTTTTCTGTTTTTGGGAGGATGTTATTTTGTCAATAATAGTATGATGGAAGCCATATTTCTGATAGATAAGCTTGTAGGTCATGCTTGAAGGCTTCAAGACTCGAGTAGGGAATTGAAGAATATATTAAAGACTTGAAGATGTCTAAGTTCTTTTTATAGCTCAGTACCTCCTGAATGGGAATCTGGAGCTATCAGCAGGTTATCTCTTACAACCCAGGAGGACAGTGTTAGGTAGGATTGCAGTCCTTTCAAGTTGTTGTGATAGGGTTTTTGTTTTTCTAAATGCCATTAAATTTATATATCTGTACAACAGATATATGTTTGCTGAAGTGATGGAGAAGAAAATTCCTCTCACTTCCTTACAAATGTCTTGAGGGTGAGTTTGTGCTGCAGATGTGCAAGGGGTAGTCCCCATGACTGCACTTTTGTTGTGTCTAGGTGAAAACAGAGTAGACTCAGCTGGTTTGATTGGATCTATTAGCTATATTGTCTCACTTTATCCAATCTAACAAACCTTTGTGCATGAGCTGAGGAGGCTTGCTTAAAAAATAGTATTGTTTAAAAATTGCTTTCAAGCCCTACGTTCCTCCTCTGAAAAAACATAGCATAAGAAACCTTGCTAAAGTCTGTAAGGATRTTAAATAGTGGACAGAGGGTAAAATGCTTCCCGTACAGGCACAYTTTTAATGTTCTTTTTTTACGTTGGACAAGTTTTTGAGGAGATTTGTCTCTTCGGAAAGTCGAGATTATTTTGTTGTTTTTTTGTGTGTAAAGTATTGTGTTTTTCAAGTAATACCCTTTCTATTTCCTAGTGCAAAAGCCTGAATGAGTGCTTGGATTGTCTAATATGCTTGGATGCAGCTTAAAAGGAGCAAAGATGAAAATGCCAGGATACTCTTCTGTTTTGTCGTTAAAACTTGTCTCACTCTGGTTTTACAACTTAYCCAGTGTAAAACTGTGTTTTGAAGTGGCAACAATTCATCAGTGCGTTTTSATATTAAGTTTTGTCGTGTTGTGATGGTGTTTTGAGGAAGAAAAGCTGTTTCTGTCTTGATCACATACTTGAAATAGCTGATTTAAGGCTGTCTTAACTGAGATAACAGTGTGAACATGGACACCTGTCATAGCTATTTCTGTTCTTTTAGAGTTCAGCCACATCATTGTGAATTCATACTTCATTAAGTGAAATATGCAAATACTCTGAAAAATAAAAGCTGGACAAAAGCATTTGCAAGGTATATGTGAAGTTTTCCAAGAGGATCTTGTGCTTTAAACTGACAAGTCATTTAACTTGGCTTGTTGTGTTGTTTTTTCTCCTTCTTAAATTTTCATAAATGATTTTCCAAAGCAAAATTAAATTTGAACAGTTAAAAAATAGATTTTAATTCTCTATCCACCAGAGATTTGTAACATCAAAATTTTAAAAAWTAGTCTAGAATTGCATATTTTTTTGAATTTTGTGAAGTTTTAAATAGGATCCTCATTATTCACAAATATGTAACTTAGAGTATCTTTTAGATATCTTGAGATTTTTCCAAATCTCAATTAGAAATAGTTGGAAGTTTTTAAAAGATTTAAATAAAGATATGGGTTTGACTATATAGTTCAAACAGATATAAGAATTAAATGGTTCTAGTACTTTGAGTATGGGTGTTAAGCTGTTTTCACTCAGTAGGTGGAAGCGTGTAGCACTTCTTGTGTACTCTGAGCTCTAGAGTGATGGGAGCTTCTCTTCAGATACTTCCCTGTGCCTTGCGGATTGAGGGCATGGTATGAGCTGCAGTTGTAATCAGGATCTTCTGTTTATCACTGAGGCTGGAGGAAGCGAGCCAAAAACGAGGGGAAGGAGCTGTTGGTTTCCTTCCTTGAGAAGGAAGCAGGCTCTCCTTTCACCATCTGCATGTTGCAAGGGGTGGGAACTGTGTAACGTGTGACTTGCACTTACTGCCTCAGTCCCTTCTGAATAGCTAAAATATAAAGGTTATCGCCTTGTGGTTTTGTCCAAAGGATTTATCGATTTTGCTTCTATACCAGATGTAGTTTCTTGCAATGTTATGTACCTTAACAGTTGTACTTTGTGTTTCAGCTTCTGGAGCCAGTTTGCCATCAGCTCTTTGAGTTCTATCGCAGTGGTGAGGAGCAACTGCTACGCTTTACACTGCAGTTCCTACCAGAACTGATGTGGTGCTACCTTGCTGTCTCAGCCAGCAGGGATTTGCAGAGCAGTGGTTGCATAGAAGCTCTTCTTCTAGGAGTTTACAACTTGGTTTGTATTTGCATGTAATTATTCATGCCTAAAAACACTAGGCACTTTGGGGGAATGCTATATTGAATATTTTACTGGGGAAAAATGGGAAAGTTTTTGTTTGTGTGTTTTCTTCCCTTTTCTCTCTGAACTGTCCTATGTACTCTTGGTTTTTGAACGTGATGCTCTTGATGCTCTAGTTGAAATCTCCAACATGAACTTTAGATTCTTGCATCTTGTGACTCTGCAAATGCATTAATGGCTGAAGGGGCTGAAGGAAACTTTCTGCAGAATGTTTTTCCTAGACATTGTGGTTAAGCATAGATGCTCTTTGAGACTGAGGAACTGCTTTTTACAGTTGCAGTTGCTTTTTACGTTTCCTCTATTAGAGGAACTGCAGAATGCTGCTTTCAGCAAACTGTCCTTGATTTTTGAAGAGATAGTTGAGATTTGAGATCTTGAATGTCTCATTTTGTTAACCTCAACATGAGATCTTTTCATATCTGTATGAAAAGATACTGATTTGTATTGACTTTTAAGAGCACCATATTCTAGTAATTACAGGTCAAATGCATTTACTCTTTCTATTTACAAAAAGTTTAGTGTTTTTGTCTTTTGGGATCCTTGGAGCTGTTTGCCTGTTCTGGGTGTGTTAGGAAGGCCCTTGGGAAGTGAAACGGTGATGAAATTTGACCTCTTCCCATTCTGGAAATGAAAACACTTGCRTTCGGGAGGCCACTGGGGGGAGGGAAGGGCGGGGGCGGGAATTGATTCTGCATTTGGCAGAATACAGGCTGTACATGCCACCAGTTTTCTTAATTACAACTGAGAGGAAAATCATTCCTGGGAAGCACATGGTGAATCTTATGCCTAGAGCTCCTTTGTTTCCATGACAAAGGSATCTAAAATGGTTAAAACGGAAGTGTCTGTAATCTGTTGTAGGATAAAGGCATTTACAGGTCAGCTTGACACCAGTCCAGTAGCATCTTCGCTTAGCTCTGAGCAGTTTCTTCATCGGTCATTGCCATCCACTCCATCTGCCATTGCTTGGGGTCAGAGAAATTTTACAGCTGCTTCTGTGGGAAGCTGTAAACCTGCAGGAAACAGGCACTTCTCCCTGTTTCTCCCATTGTTTTCATATAGTGAAAGCTTATACTAAAGTAGTGCCAAGTTACTGATGCTGATTTCTTTGCCTCTGTTAATGTAATACTTGCAACTTAAACAATATGCTGCTGGTCAGCTGGTACATTTGGATGGCACAGTTCTTCGTTATGCTCYGTTCAAAAGGTAGTAGGAGATCTGGTTTAGATGCTTGTTTTATTAGATATAAATATTAAGCTTATGCAAATAAATGCAGAAGTCTCTTGAAATCTGAGGGGAATTATCATCCTGAACCTAGTTCCGCAGTCCCTTTCTGAAGTAAGTTGAGAAATGTAATTTTGTGCAGAATAATTTTTAATTCTGTATCCCTAACAAAGTAGTGCATTATTGCTGCTGAAGTTAAGAGCACAAATTTGRTTTACTCTACTCTTGACTTGGAGATGTGGCTGAAGAACAGGCTTAAGAAAGGCAGGTAGTGTATGCAGTTGATATGTAGGAAACTGTGCACTAATGCAAACTTAAAGGGTGAGTGGGTTATGTGGAGAGCAGAGCTGTGTGACTGCATTCAACCTGAACAGTTCTCTGCCTCTTTTGATCTTCTCAGTCTTCTTTTAAGATTTTTTTCCTCTTTAAGACATGGGTTYTAGTAGGTAGTATGTGAAGTCAGTCCTTCAACCAAGTGACTTCTGAGAAGGGGTTGGTAAGAGGCCCTTTATTGAAGTTCCTCTCTAATCTCCACCTTTGGATGCATGAAATCTGTTGCTGAGAAAAACATTGGATGATGAGGAGCACGGAGCTGCACTGCAGACCTGTGGAAGCGCTCTGATTAGTAACTGTTCTAGAAGACAGAGGGGGAGTCAGAAAGGGACTATACTATCTAAATACAGAGTGTATAGGATTTGTTTTTGAATATCAGGATCTTAATATGAGATTGATTGGCATCTTTGAGATCCTGAGTGTGTGGTGATGGGAAAACCAGGTTAACTGCAAGCCAAACCTTCAAGATGAGGCCAATAATCTTCCTCGAAACTGGAGTATTGCCTTCTCTGTGTACCATCACCTTCTTGGCTGTAGTTGCTAAAAGCACTGCACTGCCACTGATAGCTGTGGTGATTGCTGTTTCTCTCTGGTAAATCCTAATAGTGCTGCAAAGTGTTCTTGCATGTGTGGTTTTGGTCTGGAAGCCCAGAACTTCTTGTTTCTGAAGTTTTTGTTCTGAAGTACTTAAGTGCTCCTCTGGTGCATCTTTTTGGCCTTATCCTGTAGCCTTCCACTAACTTTTAGGAGAGTCTGCCAATCTGCTATTGTGGCARTATCTTTCAGGAAAGGGACTTCTCTAAAGCATTGTATCCATTCATTTTTTTCTTAGGTTACTTTTTTTTTCCTAGGTTACCTTTTTTTTTCCCCTTCTCTAAGTATTTAAATATCAAACATGGGCTTCAGCAAATATTTTGATGTCCGCTATTATCAGACTGTATGCGGCTGCACTTGCCTTGGAGCTAAAATGTTTCCAAAACAAATGACTTGGAGAGCCGTTATTCTGTGGGTGAATAGTTTCCAGAGCAGAGTTATTGAGCATTAACCTTCACAAATAGCAAGTGGTGCATAATTAAAAATATGGTAACACTGTTTAAATATATTGAGATTTCCAGTTAGTCTCTTGTAAGGTAGCCAATAACTATGCAAATGCATGTGCCCTTTGTGAAGTCATTTGAATATTAAAAGCAAATGTATTGAAGCTATTTTTCAGAAACAAAACTAAACCACTGTGTTGGGAAGCAAATAAAGACATAATTTCTAGCTTGTAGCTCAGTTTGTAGCTTGTCTCTTCTATGGTAACTGGTTTGTTTTCCATATCCATTTACTCCTTTCAGTATTTAATACTTTTTCTGAATGCCTGGCTTCTATAGCACAGTGTAACCCTTGATGCTGCTTGTCTTTTGCAGGAGATAGTTGACAAGCAGGGTCACAGCAAAGTGCTGAGTTTCACAATTCCATCTCTGTCCAAGCCTTCAGTCTATCATGAAGTAAGTGATTTTTGAAACAAACTGATTGTTGCTCCTGATTGTGAAGCACAGTGTGCTTTTGGGGGCCTGTTCATTAGGAATAAAAGTGAAAATTAGTTTGACATTTTGCATGATGGCATAGTAATGTAATTGATCACTGCTCACTGCTATCTCAGAGGCCCTTTAAAGTCTGAATAGCAGTAATTGTGTAATATCCATGCACACATTTTTTTCCCTTTCTGTTCCCAAGCCTTTTACTCTGTTTAGTGTAAAATCATCTTTCAAACCCAAGATAATAAGTAGTTAACCTAAAGAATCTTGAAAATTTATATGCAAATGCTGTGATGATCAGTTGTCTGATATTTAAGTTGCATTGTAGCAAGGCCTCGGGTACTGAATGACCTGTTTTTTCTTTAGCCTTCTAGCATTGGCTCCATGGCTCTCACTGAAGGAGCTTTATCCCAGCATGGTTTGTCCAGGGTTGTGTACAGTGGACCTCATCCCCAGAGGGAGATGTTAACAGCACAGAACAGGTGAAACTGTGTAGTGAGACTCTGCTTGAGAATCATTAATGAATTTTAACGTCTTATATAGTTGCAAACTTAAGGTAAATGCATGGGTTCTTGTTTTTTGTTTTTGCATTTAAATTTGAATGGAATCTAAAGAATAGGAGCACATGTTACCATATAAAGGGAAGAAAAAATTACAGACCCACGCTCCTTGATTATCAACAGCTTTTGGGGGGAAAAAAAATACCAAATCGTTCAAATAAAACTCTGACAAATATCTTTGTAAACTTGTTTGGTTTCTTTCTAAGAGGTAAAATTGGCAATCTAATTTCTCATGTTCCTTGTAAACCCCAGGTTTGAAGTGCTGACATTCCTTCTGCTCTGCTACAACGCTGCCTTAAGCTACATGCCTGCAGTCTCTCTCCAGTCGTTGTGTCAAATTTGTTCAAGGTAATTGCTGTGGGTTGGGTATACTTAAAATGGCATTGTCAACCTGAAGTGTCATCAGAGTGAGTCTGGCTGTTTTAAAATGTTCAGGTTCCGAAAAGTTGCTTGTGAGCTTGACTTTTGTTTCTGTAAGTGTTTAGAGCTGCGTTATTTCTATTTAAAGTATCTCTTATGTGAGGTCCTAGGTGGAGACCTCAGCATGGGGGAAGCAATAATATGTCTTATATGCAGTGCTATGAAATGGAAAATTAGAGTGAATAGTCTGTCTTTAATTATAACAGCTGTAGATATTTTCCTGAAATAAAAACAGAAATATCTTCTAGAGTCTTGTTAAATCTTGCATTGCATGTTTATTAAAAATATTTGGATGCTGTGCAAGTTGAAACTTATTTGAAAGTACAGTGGATCTTGACACTAAAGTTCTTTTTTTGTGTATTCTGGGAGGTTTGAAAATCCCATCCTACTTTCTCAAAACAAATGACCTCTGCTTTGGCTATAATGTCTACAATTGATTTCCTCACCCCCCACCCTTTTTCTTTTTTTAAAGAGAAGTGATACCSAATCTGTCTAACACTAGAATTTTGGAAAAAGAATTTGACTTCAGGAAAACAGCAGAGTGTTTTTGGTAGCCTAGGAAAATGAAGAGACGAGTCAGAAATCAACTACAACTTTCAGCCATAACTGCAGGGTCCCAGATTCCTCACACAAGCATAAAATTGTAAGGGTTGCTTGTAAGATTCATTCCTCTTAGGAGGAAGTGAGAATGTCCTGGAGATGTGTGAATATTTGTAAGAGTCTTTCCAGGAAGACATTTGTTAGACATGGTCATGTAAAATTTTAGATAGGGATTTGCTTAGCAGTTAAAGACTCTAGGCAAGAGACTGATGTTGCTTATTCTGGTTGACTAGATTTGGATATTACATTTGGCATCAATAATTTAAAGAAGCCTCCAGAAAGTCTAAGCAACTTCTTCGTAGGTGCAGACAAGCCCATTTCTAATCAGAAGTGTTGAAGATTTGGATAATGAATGATTTGATTTTATAATATTTGACTTTTTCATCTTAGATTTTCATTTCCTGCTTGTTTTGGCATTAGTGCTTTTCGACTTCCTGGAAAATCTCCAACCTGACAGCAATTTAGAGATTCGAGAGTATGTGTCAGAGGATGAAAATGCCTCTTATCTTCTTTGAAATGTGGAGCTGACAGATTTTTCAGACGAATCCTTAGAATTACTCCTTAATTGCTTTGAGCCATCCTGATTCTAGGTTTGTTTTTAGAAGATTTGCTTTATGTGAGAGATGTACAAGGAAGCTGCATTTTTCAGGAAAAGTTCGATTCAGTTTTTGACTCATACTTAAAGAAGCGCAAGCTTCTAGTACTGCTTATTTGATTAACAAAACTTTAACTTGCCGTGTGGTAACAGACGTGGCACAAAATATTTTGAGCTAATCTGATGTACTGTAAATCTGTTTCTTTGCATTTGGGCACCTTCAGTAATTTCTGTTTTCATAAAATTACCTTATTCTGCTGGAAAATTAAGTCGTTTTCATTTCATTCAGGCATTTAAATAGGAAGGAACTTGGGTTAGAGTAGGTAATTTAAAGGGGACCTATATTGGCATTAATAGAGTAACTGTGTGAAGGTGATCTTTTCTGTAACCTTATTGGTATAACAGATCAATTTCCTACTGAGTTCATTTTTTTTTTACAAAAATATTTATTGTATTCTTATGCTATCACATCTAGCAAATGCATAAATATATATATCTGAATAAAAATGACCTAGTTGAATGTTTTTTATGTAAATTAACATTTTTGTTTAAACTAGACAACCGTGTCAGGAGAAATGTTTGTTTAACCTGGACCTCCTCCCCTCATCCGCAGATCTATCTAATGCTGAAATGAATATTAATGAATATTATTTTAGTGTAGTCTTGAAGCCAAACCATTGGTACAAATTGATGTATCAGAAACTAAAATACTGGGATGCTTGGTTTCAAGGAAGGAAGGAAGGAAAAAAAAGTAAACTTGTCAAGTGACCTCTTCTGGAGGGTGGCGATCGGGTATAATGAATGGGAGGTACATATACTTAACATATATATGCAACATATACCTATATATGCTTTTTTCTTTTGATTGTTCAACTTTCATTCTGGTAACTAGCTCATGTCACTTGAGAAATAAGTTTTTGTCCATATGTGGACAAAGCGAAATGTGAGAGGATTAACTGGTGGTTCTCTAGCATCTTAAAAATATTTATGAGGAGAGTCAGTTTGCCTCACTAACTGGAGATTACACTTTTGTTTTAGCTAGCTGTCAAAGGACTGTGCAGATGAACTCTAGATGTTTGCATTCTAGTTTCTAAATATTTAAAACTTTATGCTATTTGAGTAGTTTGATACAAATCACAATATAATCTGAATGATTATGCAGGAAGGACTGGTATGCTTCTGGCCAACAAGAATATTGAATTTAGAGGAAAAGCTTGCATTTATTTACAAATTGAAGTGTTTGGACATTCTGGCAAAATGAAAATTCCAAAGCAAGATCARCTGTTTTTCGGAAACGTGTCTTTGAATGATTGCACTCAGTCATGCACTCRGTTACTTAAATTTCTTTTTCTGTCTATCTGCAAAATTCATCCTCAAGGTTGTAAGTGTCAATGCTGATTTTTAACTGAACACTGGTGCTTAGAGCAGCAATTGGCCAGCTTGATCAGTGGCAGCACAAGCCTAGGGTTTATGGAATTATTTCCCAATACAAGACGTGTGTCTATTGGAATTGATACGTTACTCCCTGATGAACATTTCCAAGTTGTCTATTTTCCTTGCGTGCTGTTACCAGCAGGGCTCCTTGMCTTTCTTGGTGAAGTCTAAATTTATTTTGTTTGTTTGTTCCTTTGGAGATAGGACAAAATTAGCGTGAAGAATCAAATGGAGCCTGTACTAGGTGCCAGGTACACGCTGGGAGAGTTGGAGAGCCGTGCAGCTCGGGGGGGGTTGTTTGCTCATTGTAAATGCCTAAAGCAGAAGATGGGCTGTGGAATAGAGAGCAGAAGAAAAAATTCAGAGAGAGCTAGTGGCAAAGTTAGTGTTTAAAAAGCGGGGAGGAGGGGAGAGAGAAGGGGAGTCCTGAAATATGTTACAAATTTAATCCAAAAAATACTTCAATACACTCTTAAAGGAAGAGCTCAAATATATATATTGTTGTTTGTGGCGGTTTCCGCCCACCCTAGCAAGCCAAAAGAATTAAGAGCAGTGTCATAAGAAGCTCTCTGATACTGAACTTCTTAGTGTGTGCTTTGGAAAAGAGAATTCTTTGACTCTTTTCAAAACAGCCAACTTCATATTACTGGAAAGATCTGTAATCCATATTACTTCTGGAAATATCTTTAATAATCAATGAATTTAACATTTAGCCTTACAGTGTCTTTGATTTCCAAACTGTTTTTTGACTGCAGAGTCTGATGTGGATTTTGGTTCAAAACTCATCTCTAAAGGCAACTTTCAGTAGATTTTTGTAATAATTATGGAACTTCTGATGTCTTTGCTCTGACACTTATGTGCAACTTTGTTTTTATATGGAATAATTCAGTTATGTCTCTGAGTAATTGATAGTCTACTTTCATTTCCCCAAATATATGTGTGTGGTGGTAGGGTGGTTCTTGTGTGTGTGTGTGTATATGTTGTTTGTTGGAGGATTTTTTTTTTTCCTACTAAACAAGAGGAAAAAATGGTTTTAATTCAGAAGGAGTTCCTGCCAACTTTTCTTGATGTTCAGTTGCAGTATAGAAGTGACAGGAGTGACAAGGATAGTCACTCATAGACACAGTCACAGTGTGTTGTGCTCTGAGCTCTGCYGGCAGAGGAGGGCAGCTCCTTCCTCCCTGCTCCCGCTCGGCACGGAGTTGTTGATGGGTACTTCTCTGTGGGGCTGTTGTAGCTGAAGTGTATAGTGAACAGTCAGCTTTATAATGTTCTTTACGAAGGTGGTTCTACACTCTTTACTAATGACAAGTGCATGATTTGTTTAGGATCTGTGTCTGTGGATATCCTCGCCAACAAGTGAGAAAGTACAAGGGAGTAAACAGCAGGATTCCAATTTCTTCTGAATTTATGGTGCAAATGCTAACAGGGATTTATTATGCCTTGTGAGTATTTTTTCTGTATGTATGCTTGCAAAATGAAAATGCCAGCATTTAGTTTATGCATTCGTGTAGGCATGCAACCTTTCAAGTGATTATTTCCTAGTGAATAGGGGTTTGTCTAGTAGCACAGTCATCAAGAGGAGAACATACTTCAGTTAACCAGTTGCAGGATTAACTCGTGTGATATTGGAAAAAGAGGGCTGGAATAGCAGGTATTGGGTCTAACTGGTGATATGGAAGTCTGTGTATAACCTCTTTCACCTGTAGACCATTGTCTGCATTTCTACATGCATAGCTTTGGCATCAGTTTAGTTAACAGTGAAAAAAAAAATGTTGCTGTTGCTGATGGTATTCACCCTCTGATAGTCATATTGGTGCATGAAGTTCTCTTATTAACTGAAATAAATGTTAAGTCTGCTACAGTCTCTACATATTTCTGTGTTGCTAAAATTAGAACAATCCTATTTCAAGTTCAGAAAATGTCATGACTAAGGTGATCGATAACTGTGTCACTTCTAAAATTTCCCAGGGTAGTCAATGAAAATAAAACTCCTTCCTCCTTAAACACATCTTCAGAACAAGTTTTATTGATGGCAGTATACAATACGGACAATAACTAGTTTAACTTCTAAATTGAACTTTAAGGAATGCTGAATCTGTGGGTGTCATATGACCAAAAAGGATCATCAGTTGATAAGTGCTAATTTTTCTGTATAAACTTATTTTTGTAGTTATAACGGAGAATGGGATCTGGCTCGTAAAGCAATGGATGACATTTTATATAGAGCGCAGCTGGAACTGTACCCAGAACCTCTGCTGGTAGGTGCTGTATCAAATTTGGGGAGAATTTTTAGACCAGTAAATTCTTCTGCTGAACACATACCCTGATGCACCATCATGCCAGGAACCTGTGYAGGATTTATTTTTTATTTAGATATATATTTATACAGAGTAGTCTGAGTAAAAAGAATGCCATTATATAATTCTGCCCCTAAAATTTGGATCTTTTTGTTAAGAACTTAACCTGCATTTATTCTTTTCTAGGTTGCTAATGCAATAAAAGCTTCACTGCCTCAGGGTGCCATGAAATCTAGTAAAGAAGGYACAAGATGCATTCAGGTTGAAATTACACCTACTTCCTCTAGAATATCAAGAAATGCTGTGACTAGCATGTCTATCCGAGGGCACAGATGGAAAAGACATGGTAAGAAACATATTTGCAATGAATTCTGAGCTTTTTAATCCTGTTTAAAATAATACTGAGACTTCGGGTTTTGCACATCATTATTAATTAAAATGCCATCAGTAGATGAATGTTGTACATTCAAGRTATTTATACTGAGATTGCTTTTCTAAAGTGAATATTCAGATTTTTGATATGGTTTTGTGCAGTCATAAAAACCTATTATATATGAAATGGGGTGTACTATGCTGCTGCTGCCAGTAAGCAAGCAGTAGTTTGGAATTTATTTTCTTAACAGGTGAATGGAAATCTTTAGACAGTTTAGATGAAATATTTTCTCTATTCTTTTTTCCTTGACYATATTTGTGGGTTTTATCTGTCTTTTAACTAGTTTCTATTAAAGGGAACTCTACGAAATCACAGGATCTTTAAAGAAGCTGATATTCGTGTGTGTGGTTTTTTTCTGTCTTTCCTGAACAGTGATGTACAGTACCTGAAATAAAGCAAATATAATGGTAAAGCTGTTACAAATATATTTMGTATTCTTACCACAAACCCTCATCTTTTTTAAATTATTTAAAGCTGGGCCTGGAAGATGGTCAGATAAATTCTTTATTTTTAGGGCAGAYTAACATAAGCGATTCTAACAAGTTGAGCACAGGTCTGTAGAGAAGTGAAAAAAGATGGTGCTGAAGGTACTGCAAAAAGAAATATTCTGTCCCACTTCTGCCTGCTTCAGATGAAGAACAGCGAATCAACCAGAGATCCCTTCTCATTGCTTGCTCTCCTGAGGTAGTAGTTCTGCTCACAGGTTAAGGAAGTGAGTGAACATTTAGACTGRCCCTATTAAAACATGTTCTGCATTTGAAAGTTGTATCATAAAAAAAACTTCCTGTGTAATGTTTGCTATGAGCTTTTATAGTAAGCAGGCAATACAATTAGAAAAATACCATGAAATTCCTTGTCTTGTAAGATATAGCCATATTTCAGCCAAATGTTGAAAAAAATATTTATTTACATGCTGGAAGAAAATGACTTTAAAATAATGGCTTTATGAGCAGTAATGATGCCCACTGGTGCTAGTACCAATAGTAAGGTGCCTAGAGGCAAAGCAACTGTTAAATAATCAACTGAAAATAATTTTGGTTAAAAACCACCTAAAGCTGTGAGACACAGCTGAAGAGCTAACACATGAGCATCCTTCCCTTGAGTAAGGTCCCATAGCATGAAATGTTAAGATCCGAAAGGGCGTTTTAGCCTCTAGTGTTTTATTTTTCTTTCTTCGGGTTGACAGTTTTTAAGCAAGAACTCCTAGCCAAGTGCCAGAAATCTGTGTGATAGCTCAGCTTTTCCGTGGAGAAACGCCCTCTGAAAGCTACTGATTTTTGCCTGCTGTTAATTTGGGGTAGTTCTAATGTTCATTCAAACTAGGTGATGGGAACCTGGATTAGTGATGCTGAGTGTTAGCTCCTTCAAAGGAACTAGAGGCATGGTAAAGTAAGCGTCCCCTTGCTATTGTTAGTACAGAAAAACGATGTAATATAAAAATATTACAGAATCAGTATTGGAGCCATCGTTAAAAAAAAAAAAATTCTTTTATTATACTTAATTGGTTTCTATTTTTTATGAATACTGAGATCTAGGAGTTTAACAACAACAACAACAGAACCCAAAACAGTGATCTAGTATTGCCTTCTTCTAAGGGTGACACTTGAAGTTCAGAATAAAATGGGTAGGCCAAAGTACACTGCAGCAGATAACAGTTATGTGAAAGAAATGACAATAAGAGGAGAATTCATAGAAATGGGGGCAGAATTATTTGTTATATGGCATTCTTGTACAGARCAGCACAAGTCAAGAGCAACAGTGGTGTAATGTAGTTCTAGCTAGTATGACTTCAGGAGCGGTCCATGTTTAGGAAATGCTAGATTTGGAAGGTTAGGGAGTTTTACTGAACTCTCTCGRCAACACTTTATTTGAGTTATTAGGAAAAAACTTTGGACTTGCCTCAGTGGTAGCACACAAGACTTAGCTGGGAAAAAATAACTCGTTATAGTGATGGGCGGAAAAAACTTGTATGAGTAATTGTAAAGTGGAAGGCTGTGGAAGCAACAGGATAGTTTAAGGGCTAAAAATGAATCTACATTTTCGACTGAACACGAGTGCATTTTGATTTAAATGGCGTGCGTTCCATGTATTGGGCCATTTCAGAGACCTCCTTAAAAATCCTATTAAAAAATACTAGCAAAATAGTTGTTTATGCCTTAAAAGTCTTCTAAAGTCTGAATTAATCTATCTGGAGTTCAAAACTCTGACCAGGCCCAATAATTCCTGAGGAAGGAAATAACTTCAGGCTAGGCACACAGACAGAATGATGTGGCTTGTGTTTACAAATGCTTCTTTGAATTAAAATGAATGTTGGAAATGGTGAAAGTCAGGCGACAAACCTTGTCACCCCTGATCATTGCTAGCTCGGCCAGAGCGTGGGTGGGTGGAGAGATGAATTTATGGGTTTATTTTTGTGATTTAAGAAAAACTGAGTTCTGCAACTGGCTATGAAGCCAGGGGAGACAGCATGTGGCCCTTAGAGTAAGCTTGGTCTTCTGTGGATCCATATGGAGCCCAAGACATCCTTAAGCCGAAAAGCCCTCTGAGAGCAAGGACAGCACTTTCCATCATTGCCATTAAAAATAAAAGAAAAAAGCCAGTACAGGTTACTGCAGGCTAACCACATTTCCAGGAGTGCTTGCTTTCTAGTATTTTTTTTTTTAAATACTTCCAACTGCAAACACTAGATCTTGCTAAAAATCTCGACCAAATCCCTTTTGGGAAAAGGTCAACATAGGGTTTAATCTTATTGTCATACTCAACCCTGTCCTTAACCACTACATTTGAGCTGATCTTCAGAAGGACATTTTCTAAATCCAGGTTGCTATTGCGAACTTGGTTTTCTGACAGACTTAATAAAAGGAAAAGGCCATTTGCCAAATGGATCCATCTACTCACGACTTAATAGCATTTATAGAAGCAGTTGATATTAGCTACCACTTACCCACAAATTATTTTGTGCTACTGAATTGTTTTGCTTCTAGATCTCAAACCTAAAAGAGTGGATTTGATTGAGCATCAATGTTTGTAGTGGTCTTATTTTAAAAGCAAGCCTTGGGTGGCCCTATTTGCAACTAGAGGGAAAAATAGGAAAACCGTGCGGTAGATCACGCACAGGAACACTTGATTAAGTGGTTATTTATGGAAGCAAGGACAAAAAAAAATGTAAAGCAAGCCCTAGTAGCCATTTTCATTGCTAATGTAAAATTTGTTTAACACTGTCCAGTAAAAGAGGTACTGGAAAAACTCCTGTGTATAGAGATAATGCAGGTACTCTGACATAACAGACTGAGTAAAAAGAGCTGAGCAGATGTTGGGTAAATACATAGGAAAAAAGATGACTTTTACTAGAGAAGAATGACTTATTTCTTGTCATTAGAGTGATTGTCATTCAGGTATTGCACAAGATTTAGAGATACTGGTCTTTGAGACTCTATGGAGAGATTATTATTATTATTATTATTATTATTATTATTATTATTATTATTATTATTATTATTATTATTAAACACTGTTGGCTCCTGAAATAGTTATAACTTTTCTAGATGATCCTGGTAATTTGGGGATATGAGCTTGATGCCTTTGTAAATAGCTGAACGTGCCAAATGTTGTCATATCTGTAAAAAAGATGGCTTGAGGTTGTAGTGGTTAAAATCCAATTACAATCTAGAGGAGCAGTTTGTTTGGAGGCACCCATAATAATAAGGTAATTAAGACTGGAATTTCTTTGAATGGATTTTTAGCATCTCGTGATCATTAAATATTTCCCAAAGTTGGTTGTACTGTACAACACATGAAGAAAAACACTGTTGAAGTTCTACAAATGTTATGCTATATTGACAGTCGCTTTCAAGGTGACATATTTATTCAGTTTTATCTATAAGCTTTTTAGCACTGCCTTTTGGTGTTTCCAAACACCATCTGCCTCATCATAAATCATTAAAAAAAAAAAATCATAAATCCCTTTATTGATGTCCTTCATGTTGGCCAATAAATGTATGTACTAAAAACTCTAATCATCTGCAGTACCAAACTACCAGTCTGGCCTTAAAGTTCCTTCCTTAGTCCTCAGAGTTGTACAGGGCCTGGGTTTTGGATAAAACCCTGCGCTTCCTTTGAGCTTTAGCCTGAGCTGGGTTTTAGTTCATTTTTGATCCTGTCAGATTTGTTGCTCTAGCCTTAGTGTCTAAGGTTACGTACATAGCACGTGTTACGTACAGCATATAGTGTATGTTTTTCTTCTCCTTTGCTCCTCTTTCTGTGGCAAACATGTTGGCAGGRCATGTGCAGCGACTGCCTGTCACTGAGGGCATCTCCCCTGCGTCTCCAGGTCACCCAGTGCCGCCCTGTGCCTGCAGAGCTGGTGCTGGTAACGCCCACCCACTGCTTTTAGCAGCAGACCCTCAGACACCTGAAACGCTCCGACAGCTTCCTAGCACTGTAACTTGTTACTCGCATATGCCAGGAATTCCCACAGGATCTTTCTTCCCGCTATATCCCTCCTTGAGTTTGCCCTTCCTGAATGTGTTTTCAGCTGGCTTAGACAGGGAGCTTGGGGCTGGGATTTGTTTTAGCAGRACCTCGCGGAACTGCTGCCGCTGTCATCAGACCTCTTGTGCTGACACACGGTCTCGCTGCTCTGAGCAGCAGTGATGCTGWTTCTTTGGCCGCATTTGTAGGGATCTTAGAATGTCTTAAAACACTTCTTAGGCCAGGCATAGTGCTTGTATATCTTCTACTATTGACTTCCTCAGCAAAAAGGAGGAATTTGAACTAATATTGTGCTGTTTTTACCTTAATTTCCCCCCCTTTTTTTCCTGTTATTGCAGAAATTACATCGTTTCCCTTCTCTCSCCCGAGTCATTTAGTAACTGACTTGTGTGACACAGATAAGTTTACTGCAAATTAAGGTACTTGGAGAAGATCAGTATCTGTGTTAGAGGATTAGCCGTGGCAAAACTTCAGTAAAACTCCATAGATTTTTATCTGAGCAAGCCGATTTTAATAACGGGAGAGACTTCTTTTTTTCTGGTTAAATGATTTTGAAATGAGAGGAGGAGAAAAGGAGGAGGGGATTTGTATTCTTGAGCGTTGTAACGCTGCACGTGTGCTCAAAGGGGAGGTTCTGCTCTTAAATGCTAACACGAGAAGTCGATACAGCTCTTCGTTGTAAAARTAGCTTCTCTGCATCAACTTCAGCMTGTTGGTACAGGGAAGATGGTCATAGTGATGGAGAGTTCTGATATTCAAAATTCTGTGAATATTTGTTTTGTGATGATCCTCAAAACTTTCAATATTGAAAGATCAAGCATGGAACTTCGAGTGTGTCAGTGCAGGCCAGTACGTGGAAGATTGAACTCCATGGTTTAAAAATTAAGTGAAATTTCATACTCACTAATGTTGCTAATTAATAAGATGTTAATATGTGAACATGTGCTTTAATTCATAATGCTTTAGTCATCTATTCTATGGGCTTTTGTTTCATGTTTGTTTCAGACATTCTTTGTTTTGTTTTTTCTTATCCATCTTCAACTCTAGAACAACCAGAGAATGGTAATGATGCAACTGAATTGGGCAACTTTATCATACCTGAGATTAGTGTCACAAATGTGGCTGGAGAGAGAACCGGGAATGGGGAAAAAAGCAGAGCACTAGCAGAGAATGATGTTCAGCATTTGCAGGGTGTGCAGGAAACAGCTCCAGACCCTAGAGCTGACAGCAAAGGCATACCAGAAATCAGGAGGCAAAAATCTGTAAGAAAAATGATGGAGGATGGAATAAGCTCATCTGGCAGAGTGCAGTTTTAGCAGAGCACTTGTAGCTGCACTCTCAGGTACCGGTGTTGATTGAAAGGGTCACTGCTGCATGTTTGGACAATTGAAGTATGCAGTTAATATATTTGCATGTGTAATAACACAGATGCATGTATTGCACACAGATTTGTCTGCCGCAGACGATGTACTTACAAGTAGATAATTTGGTGCGACGACACTGTGAGACTCAAAGTTATTTTGAGTTTATTAAGCATATTTATTGGGATTACACAATCCAGTGATCAATGAAATGAAGAAAACTTTCCAAAGAGACATGAAAAGCATCTTGCTGTGTATGTCACACTTCCCCAAATTTTGCTTTTCTTGGTGTACTGGAGTTTTCATGTTCCACCATGCTAGAGTTCCCAGCTCGTAGCATCAGGCCTGTGGTGCAGAAGGTGCCCTTTCAGTCCCAACGCATTCCTGGGTTGCTAAACGTGCAGGTGCCGTGTTACATGTTCTGGGGCATTGATCACATCTCTCTGTAATTAACGAGCTTTGCGAAATTGGATATCGGAGTGCTCGCTCAAAATAAGATTTACACTTTTGTTTAGTTTTGTGTGATACCTTCTAATACATTTCTAATCTCTTGCATGATTTAACAAGACTGCTTTTTTTTTTTTTCTCAAAATCACTACAAGATGAGATTGTGGGCATGCTTCTTGATTGAATGAATGCAGCATTATTTGCTGTAATTTATACCCTAATGAATTGTATTTCAAAGTGTAATGTAATAGGTAAGTGTTCGGTCTTCCGTTTGCTCTCTCTTCTGTTGCTTTAAAGCTTCATGCTTGTAAATATCAAAATCGAGTAATACATAAAACCATTAAATGTGAGGAAGTCCATTGSTAATTTTTTGTTTTCTTATTCTACCATGCAGGTAATGCTGATTTAGCAATTCAAGAAGAACTGATAGAAGTATCTGAAACCGATGAAGGATTTTACTCTAGGGCTACTTCTAGCACAAGTCAGTCTGCCTTATCGAACAGCAACAACACCAGCAGCAAGAGCCTTCTAGGGAAGAGCCAGCGAAGACCTGGAGGAAGCAAAGCTGGAGGGAAAGAGAAAGAAGGGGAAACCTGCAGAGAACACCTGTCACGAAAACAAACTCAGAGAGCCATGAGTGAGAACCTAGAGCTCATCTCTCTGAAGAGACTGACCCTGACGACTAGCCAATCTCTGCCTAAACCTGGCAGTCACAGTTTGGCCAGAACTACCACTACTGTTTTTAGCAAGTCCTTTGAGCAGGTCAGTGGCGTCGCAGTTCCAAATAGTCGTGGTGGTGTATCTGGAACAGAGGCAAACAGGTTTTCAGCTTGTAGTCTTCAGGAGGAAAAACTGATATATGGAGCAGAARGAACAGACCTTCCTATTTCAAGTAAACACCCCAGTCAGCAGCGGCCTCCTAGTATCAGCATAACTCTATCAACAGATTGACATTGTTAAATTGGCCAGTAAGCAAAATAAATCTGAGGGTTTTATGCTGATGTGGGGGCTATCCATGAAGAAGGCAGTGTATAGCATGTTAAGGTGCTTAAGCCTGAAGTCCCAGATTTTGCTCCCATTTGACAGTAAGAATAAATATGTAGTTGTAATTATTTTGCATCAACTTCCCATAGCTTGGAAAGTGCCCCTTTGACCTCTTTACTATGTTTATGGCCTTGGTTGTTTACAGCTTCACGTAACGCCAACTCACCAAGCTTTAACTGGTTGCTTAGCCACTGACCAAGATGCCAAGTGGCTTTCTGCAGATGCCCAGTATGGGAACAGGCAGATCCCCTTTGCCAGCCTTTACCCTTCCCTGCCAGCCAGCATCAGCAGAACTGCAGAGGTCGCTCCGTCGGAGCCCTGTGGCCTGRGCACGAAGCTTCAAAACAGCGTTGTAGTAACCCAAGTTTCTTGTGTCATAACAAAGCTGCATTTATATGTAAGGTTACATATAGAACTCCGGTGTTTGTTATGGCAGCTTTCGTAACAGCAGTTAGTACACATGGCAATACTCAGACTTCGGTATAACGTCAGTCTCCGTTGTAGGGGCATTATAGTTTATATACACACCTCTAGAAGTGGGCCAGTAGTCACACAGCAACAGTGCTTGTGGATGGGAATTCTTAGGAATAGCTGTAATAGTCACTTTTTGGACTACCAATAGTATCTGTTTCATTCAGATTCCTAAATAATGGGCACAAGGCTACTTAGCAAAAAGGCAGTCATCAATATTTCTATTTATGAGGCAGAAATGTGCTTGTGTAATGGTATAATGTAGAAATAAGGTATGAACCCTTTCCTGATTTGCTTGGTTCAGTGCAGTGTGAATGTGTTTAACGTGAACTTGTTACTGGAGACTAGGAAGAGAATAGGGCCGAGGAYGGGTGCTTCTGGGAACCTGCACGCACCGAGGGAAATTGCAGCGTGAATATAACTAGAATTACAGCCACTAATCTCCTGTGCCTGTTACTTTCCTCATTTGCAATTCTAAAATAGAAGGCTGTTTTAGGCTTCTTCACTTCAAACCTTCCTGTCCTGCAATCTTATTTGTTACCAGCTTCTGCAGCCTGGTGATTGTAACTGAAAATCAGCCCTCGGGTTGCTTATGCAGAAGCTCGGAGACACATCAGCTGACAAAAGCACTTAGACCATCTGCTGAAGGTGTAATGCTTGGTCATTCCCCATGTGGTTGGGTTTTCATGGGTAGTATTCCCTTATTGTCAAGAATATATAAAGATACACACACGCATGCGCGCACACACACACACATATATATATATGTGTATAAAAAGCCTTGTAGCAGAGCAAACAGACAAACATTAGTCAACTTTCTTATTTGCTTGGGGCTCGGTTCATGTGTTCCTTTTCTATTTAAACAGAAGCACAAGTAACTTAAGCAGCTATTATACTAAGGGCTTGTAGCCTCTTAGGTAATAAAAAGGGATGAGAAGGTGTAATTAATGGTGTTGTTACCGAAAATAGACAAAGTGGTCTCTGGAGCGTGCATAACCACGGGCAAGGGAAGCGTTCAGGCAGCTCTTGGCAGGCCCTGCTTAGTACTCCACCTTATTCTCAATGCAGAGCTTTGCATTTCCTTGAGGTTTGTTTCAAGTGTTATGAGGAAATGGCCTGCAGAGCTTAATACTGCCTTCCGATCCGCTCTTGTAGTAAAGAACGTAAGAATACTTTAAAATACCTTGCAKTAACTTGTACTGAAAAAAGAGAGTTGTGACAGTATTAATCATGAACTAGTGTTAAGGAACTATTATTTTTAAGTAGTTTTTTTTAAAGATCATGTTTATCTCCACAGTAGACACTTTCCGACTGGGTGTTTGTATAAAAGATGTTTATTAAACTTGGAAGATCTAGCCACTTCATTAATCACTAGCTTTCTGACACATCTAAAATGCCATAAAACAGAGATGTAACATAATGTTTACAATGCTTTTGGCTTCAAGTCAGACCGTGTTAAAGTACAGTTAGCTTTTCCTTTTATTTTATAAGGCTAATTATTTTGATCTTKGTCTGGCTTGCATCCAAAAGGATAGCTGAAAGTGCATGAGGCTTCTTACCTTTCTATAAAGTGATAAAAGGAAAGTTTCTTGGTACTAAAGGGCTGCTACTTCACTATGTGTGTGACCATGTAAACGTGTGTGCGTTCGTCTCTGGATCAGCTTATTCAATGAGAATTTTTCTATGAATTAACATCACATGTCGATACTAATTGAGTCCCAAGAATTTCTTTACTGCTGTAAGCAATGAACTTTCAACTGTCCTTACTTGCTTTTTTTTATTTTTAAAGAAAGGGAGAATGGTGGGGAGGAGGATGAGGGTGGCCAAAATTACTTCAGCCATGAAGTTTCAGGCATTGAGTGTTGCACTGGTTCTAGCGTAGGGTTGGAGTAGAGGTAGGAAGAGAAGCAGCAGTAGCAACTCTTTCCTGCTACATTTAAAACTTTGAAGMTCTTGTTTTGAACCTTATCTGTTCCTTTTGGACTGATTAATGAAAAATGTGTAAGTAGAGGCCTTTTAAAGGAATAAGGAAATTATCTGAAGACATTACATGTTCTGTTTTTCCCCACAGTAGGTAGTCGTGAGAAGTACTTTTCCAAATGTCGTACATAGTTGCAATGTTCTGCAGGAGAAAAAAAAAAAAAAAAGAAAGAAAAAGAAAAGAAAAAAACTTAAATAGGAATGAATCATCTCAAATTATAATGAAAGAAGCTGTTTAATGCTGACATTTAAAACTGACCTACTGTTTTAAATGAAAGGGAACTGTTTCCAGGGATGGCTTTGAACATTACGTTACATTACAAAACTATTGAGAGCTGAGCAGAGCTGCTTTCATTCGGAGAACCTGTAACATTTGTGCAAGGAGTGCGTGACTTCTCACTGCTTCCTGGGGGGCTGCAGTGGCTTTTCCGAGGAGGAAAAACATCCTTCAATACCTGACAGATTTGACAAGTACAGAAATGTATTACTATTTTAACGCCATTTCTCACTATCTAGAAGGTCTCTTCAGACTCCTCTGATATTAGAAATTTCTAACTGAATTATCTGCTATGTTCTGTCAATGTTTGAGGCTTACTATGCTACATGTAGATGTGTAATATATTGCCTTTTACATTTGTATAATTATACTCCTAAGACAGCTGAGTAGTTGTGTGCATTTCCTGATGTTCACCGAGGTCTCCGAAAGCGCCGCGGCAGCTCCGGCCCGTCAGTCCYGCCGGGTGCCGGTGTGCGACCAGTTCCCTCCTGCTGGGCCACGTCTCGCTTCAGGAGAGCGGGGTTCCGCTCCTTTTACAGAGCAAAACCTGCTCTTCATTGTACAGGAGGACTCACATTCCTGGTGTATGAACTACGAACTTGTGTTGTTCTGTGTTTAATACTTTGGCTAATGAAATAAACTGGATTTTTTGGCAGTTGTATACTTTTGTAAGTCCTTTGTACAATAGCAAACTTTGCTTCTTTTTTAGAGGCTTTGCTGGAGCCGTGTTAGGTAGCAGTGCACTTGTCCAGCTTTCATTGTACTCACCCAGAAGTCACTGGCAGCTGCCCATGCTGCTTCAAGCGCCCTGGATGCCCAYGTTACTCACAGGCTCTTCTAATGCAGCCGTGTCGATGGTGACACYGTGACTAAACCTCTTGGCCGAGAAGCACTTACTGGCCCCCAGGTATCCATAAGCAACTGAGTTACGAGCAGGCTGAGGTCAGAAGGGGACTGTCCTGTCGGTAGTGCACCACTGCCTGTGCAAGTCTGATAGTTGTGCTGATGGCCTTAATATAACAGTATTTTTTTGATAGTTTACACAGCAGTAATCTGCGCTGTGTCTTCATTAGCTCTCCCATCCAGCAGTTTCGGCAGTGTTTATTTGACATGTCTACAAGCACAGCTGTAAAAACTACTGTAATGTGAGTAATGCAGTGAAGTAGTCTGATGTTGATGAAGGACTGGCACCCTTCCAGGGTTTTGCTACTGGCTCTGTAAATGGTTTTCTGTCAGTGCTGTCCAGGAGGAAAGCATGTTGTTCCCTCAACTTTGACCTTATGGAAAGAGTGCTAGAGTTCCCTTTCRTGGAATAAGGTGGAGGAAGATGGAAGGCACAGCTGGACATGGCCTAGTCCAAACTTKGGGCCTGCTAGAGCAGCTTGCTCAGGACTTTGTCTTGGCAGGTTTTGAGCATCTTCAAGGCTGGAGTCTCCACAACGTCTCCACGACCTGCTCTAGACCTACCCTTGGGATCTACCATGGTGACTTGCATCCGGATGGACTTTGTGCTGCTCATCACGACCCTCTGAGCGTGGTGGTTCATCCAGTTCTCGTCCCACTGTCCTGCTTGCTCACCTGCCTCTACTTCCATCAGTGTGATGTCAACAAGGATATTAGGGGAGACCATTAAAAAGCTAATGCTTTTGAAAAGTAAGGCTGTCCTTTTGAATGGGCAAAAGTCAATGCCTTTCATATGGATGGGTGAAAAGGCAGATAGGAGATTTTTTTTTTTGTTAATGTTTCCTTTGAGCACAGCAAGGATTTTGCTTTCTGACTTGTGCAAGTTTGACGTGCTGCTATGATTGACCAGGGAGCACATGAGATTTGCTGTTGCAGGAGACTGAGACTGCACGAAGGATCCATCTGCCATGCAGCCCATGCTGAGASGGATGGTTGAAGGTAATACCAGAATTAGCAAATAGATGCAGAAATGATGGTTGCTTCTACAAGCTCTGTGTACATTCAGCTTGTGCTAGTTATTTATTGTGTTTACAGTAAAGGTGACTTCAGTGTATGCATCTTCTAAGGACAAGCAGCTGCTGGGTACTTGGGGCTGCTTCTGGCTCTTTCAGAATAGTGGTAAAAATGTCATGGTGATTCCAGAACCCGCATGTGACAACAAGCCTTTACACTGTGTGGTGTTTGAGTCACTAGCTCGGCTCCTCTGAAGTCTAACGTTGCAGAAAGACTTGCAGAGGGTGGAAGCTGGACTGAGTCACACAGAACCGTTACTGTCATTAACGCTGACTAACACAGGCAGCCCTTCATCTGTAGTTTCTGGGTCCAGATTTTAATAAAAAGAGAGGTTTCTGAGGGAGTGAGAAGAAAAAACAGCTTTTTACCCCAGCTATGCACGGCAAAGTAAATAGTGTCAAACACTGGCACAAGGGAGTCGGTTTGGTTGGGAGTTCCTGATACTGCTGTATTGCAAGTATGGAACCAAAGAGTCAGCAAATGTTCAGTGTTGACACAGAGAAGACGCTTTGCTCATCTATGAAATTGGAATATCATCATCTTTGATTACTTTTGAAGTAGGAACAGAACAGTGACTTRTGGAAATATATCCATATAAAGATATAGGTTACCTCTATTCATAGATACAGCTTCCTCTTCAGTCAAAGCATAGAGGTTGTAGAACTGTAGGAGAGGTTGTTGAAGCTGATAAAATCTGGATTATCTGATGACCTATGAAGCTATTTTTAAAATATGTGGTTAAGCACTAAGCTACTCATTTCAGCTCCCTGAATATTGAATACAGACAGGCAGACGCTTTCAAAGAATGATTCAACACAGATGCTAGGAGCTACAATTTAAGCACAATCTGTGTGGATTATCTGAGTAAACATGAAATAGCTGCATTCTTAAATGTCTAAACCTGCAAAGAAGGTAGGAACTGGAGCACAATCCCTTTATCACTTTCCTATTTCTACCATTCTCACTTGAGAATCTCACTTTAAAGCATGCAGTATCTTTCACAGCTTAATGGTTTAAAGGTTGGGTATCAGCAATATCATTAAAACATCATTACAGGTGCTCCAGCTGAATCCTGACAAATCTGAGGCTTGGTTCTTAACTACTTGGCTTCTTGCCTGACTTTCACATTGTGTCAAATTTGTGTCTTTAGATTTTTTGAGTTATCACAGGATCACACAGAATCACAGATTGGTTGAGGCTGGAAGGGACCTCTAGAGATCTAGTCTAACCCCTCCTCGGCAGGGGGTCACCTAGAGCATGGGAGCACATGGCACAGGGCRGCATCCAGCGGGGGCTGGAAGATCTCCACAGAAGGAGACTCCACAGCCTCCCTGGCAGCCTGTTCCAGGGCTCTTTCACCCTCACAGGGAAGAAGTTCTTCCTCACATGGAGATGGAACTGCCTGTGTTTCAACTTGTACCCTTTACCCCTTATCCCGTCACTGGCCACCACTGAGAAGTGTTTGGCCCCTTCCTCTCTACATTCTCCCCTCAGGTATTTGTACTTGTTTATAAGATCCTCTCTCAACCTTCTCCAGGCTAAACAGGCCTAGCTCACTTAGTCTTTCCTTTTATGAGAGATGCTCTAGTCCCTTGATCTTCGTTGCTCTCCACTGGACCATCTCTAGACATTCCACGTCCCTCTTGTACTGGGGAGCCCAGAACTGCTATGGAAACTTATGTTTTCTTCTGACTAACATAAGAAACAAGCTGCAAAAGAATTGTCCTTGAATCTAGCAGGAATTTGAACATGTTTTCAGGCTTCAAGAACTCAGTGAAGAGAGAGATTTCCATTGCTGCTTCGGTGTTTGCTTGGGACAGAATTGCTGGCGCTGTTCCCGCGTGCTGTAATGCCCCTGGGAAATGCTGCAGGAAGGCAGCGTGTGGTATGTGCGGCTGTAGCAGTGAGGACAGACGACACAGCAGTCTCCAGCTTGAGATTTTACAGATATTCTCCTGCCTTCACATGGACAGGCATCTATGGAGGTCATGGAAGCACGAGGCTGGGTACATTTTTAAACAGGCTGGCTGGAGGGTCAGTGTCAGGAGTCTCAGCCTGGTCAACGTATTGGGCCCACACAGAGTTTCAGCTGCTGCTCTCCAGAAACTCTGCAAACCTACTTCTAAATGGACTAATCCACTGCTTTGATGTAACCCAAAATAAAATGTGCATATGGACAAATGACTTGAGGAAAAAGATCCTGGACAAGGTGATCTAAGACCTCATACACATGATCCATCTTTTCTTGATCCTTGACGTGCCCTGGATCTACCACAGCATGATCTATCAGCTCTGTTCTCAGTGAATGACAAGAGTGTTTTTAGGTGTCAAGAGCAATATCAGAAAAAAAAAAAAAAACCCTCTAATGCTTATGAGCACAAAGAGTTTTGAAGCCTTCTGTGAGTAACTTCTTACTGCTATGAAAATTAGTTGCTAGGTGGATTCACTTATAAAGCATTTGATGACATAATTTAATTTAAGGCAGAAAAACAGTGCCCTGGGTATAGAATCATTATTCTATTTTGAGACATTGAACAGCTTTAATAAGCCTTGACAATCCATAACAAATTCATAGCCCCTGTAATTGTTCCTTCCTACTCTAATAAGAGTGGGCATTGTAAAGTACAAGTGCTGAGGGATAGTTTTGTTTTGTGTTTGAAGAAGGGAACACGTTGTGGAAAGCACATTTTGTACTCAGCAGTGGGAAACAAGGTGAACGGAGAGAACGGAACAGAAGCTTTAAAAGCAGTTCAAAATGTCTAGTACACTTCCTCAGTGTCTGTTTGTCTCTGTGGGCAGCCCCGAATGAATAAAGACCCCGAGCAAAATGAGACTATAAAGCCAGGAACTTACTACAGCATTTGGAAGAAAACTTTTCTCCCATCGCTGCTGCCTGGGCAATTTCCTATCAGGCAGGTCCTGTCTTATATTGCTCTGCCCCTTCCCTCCCTGCATCCAAATCTTGTGTCTCTGTCTCCTTGGAGAGGAGGATCCTGAGTGCTACTACACATCTCACTAACAAATACAGCAATTACTTTACATTTTGAGGCTGAAAAAAGCTTGCTTTCTTACAGGGCTAGTCAACAGGCTGGCTGTTGAGCTGCCTCTTGACCTGGAGGAAACAACAGTGTTGACCAGAGAAGGTAATAGCCATGAGCTCTCAGAGAGCTGAGAGAGAGAGCAAAGGCAGATCTTACCTTATAAAGGCCCAATGTGAAATCTAGTGGGATCAAAAAGTCTTTGGACTTGGGACAGACTGAATTACCAGAGGACAGAGCTGATTTCCACTTTTGAAGAGTAAATTAAAATACACGTT